AATCCCTAACATGAGACGGACCATTTCAAACATATAAGGCATACTTTAGTATCGCCAATTTATTGCAAAGTTTATTTGAAGAGCATCATAGGAAAGCCATCATTAGAAAATATCTAAAGAGATGTGTCTCTTTTATGTGGGAAACTAACAAAGAAGCTCTAAAACAAAAATATCCAAATCTTTGGAAGTAGTTCCGATTGCATCCCAAATGTTGGATTAAAATACATAGATATAAAAAACATATGTATATATAAATAAACAAAATCTTCATTACCCAAGGGTTAAGGATTATAATCCAAAATATTTCTTAAAACACTCTAAAAAAGAAACTACAAAAATGGGTAAGCTAGAAGATGAAATAATGACCTCGTTTTTGCTTTTATCTCGCTCAACGATCGAATAGCCTCTTGGACAACCTTCTTCTTAACCTAATAAAAGCCTCGGTAGCTTGTAGACAAGTATGAAGGAAAAAAGCTTTGGCTTTTAGTTGAATCCAAGGTTTGAGTGACTTCAAAAAGAAAAGGTACTTTTGGCCTTTGAATCAAAAGTTCTTCCTTCCATTTTAAAAGGGGATCTTTGAGAGATCTTAAGGCCATTTTGAAAAGGCCGTAAGACCTTTGGACGGTTCTAGTTCTACCAATTCTAAAAGATGATTCATAAAAGTTAGGAAAAACCATTCAAATGATGAAAGAGAAAAAAAATCCTTTTAGAGACTCTTTTGAAACAAAAGAAGAGTTAATATATTAGTTACAAGAATCCAGTAAGAAGGCTATAGAGAAAAAAACTCACAAGACTCAGCAATAGGATTAACATCCTCGGCTTTGGCTTTCGGAGGAGCGATAGAATTACTAACCTAGTTAGCTATAACATTGGTATTGGTGTCATTCCTAATAGCCTCAATCCCAACAATAGGCTTTGGAATCACTTTTTCAATGTGGGTTACAACCTTAGTTTCGACTGCAACCCTTAGAATCATGATTTCCACTATAGAATTTGGAATCTTGTTTTTAAGAAAGTTAAAAGGATGCCCACTAGTTAGATCTCAAAATATGGCACCTCGGCTTTTATTTTAATCTATGTAGTATTTTAGCTTTCTATTCTCGAGGGAGTTAGATGGATGTTTAGTACATCAACCCTTGTAGTACTACGAGATTTTATCCCAATAAAGACCGAAGGAATATGTGAGAACATAAAAGACTTATTTGCAGACTCTAATAGACGGTGTTTTATACACCACATTGAATTGCTTTTGAAAGAATTATATTTAAGGAACTTTATCCTACGGATAAACACAAAGAAAGTAAGCATAAGTTGTTAATCATGATAGCAATGTGAAGAAAAAAATAAGTTATAAAAAATAACTAACTTATATCTTCTAACGTAGCGGCGGGAATACTCTAGTAATCTATCGAAAGATTAGATAGGCCTTTACTTGGTCTTTTTGGAAGATGATGGATAATGGCGGTATCATCCTTAATGTTAGAAAAATTATAACTTATATTCACCAACAAGGTGATCTTACGTTTTTTCTTTTTGTTTAAGGAGGTTAAAGAGAGGAAGTTGGAACCAAGCTTTGGCCCTCACAATTTTGAAAAGATGGCCTATAAGAGCAGACCTTTAAATTAGCTTTCTTTATTTGAATAGAAGTCTTCATAGTAAGAGGAATAATACTTTAATGGGTTTTTATCTTCCTTACAACATCCGAAAAAGAGAAAGGTCAGTCATGAAACTTGAACATAACAAAAAAATCTTTGATAATACTACTTAAATAGAACAATATATAAAGACATAGGAAAGAAATATGCCTTTTTAGGGAATATTATGATCCATATGAGACAGACTTAGAAATTCAAGTCATGTCTTCGTCTTCTTCATTTCTAACCCTACCAAAAGATTAGAAAGGATTAGGATAAGGCATGCTCTTAGGCATTTACTTGGTAATTTTCAAAAAGGATTTAAAGAAGGCATTCTTAAGAATTTTAACTACATCATTAGTATCAAAATCCTTAAAATGATGACCTTGGATCATCATGGCCACTAAGAATTGAAAGAATTCATTTATCAATACACTAGTTGGCTTGGGGAAGTTTCACAATGGAACTATTGAGTTTCACAATCTGTTCCAACAAACACAAAATTCAATCGCCCTTAAAGGACCTTCTATCATGTCTAGGATTATTATATAATGTGAAAGAAGTGAGAGGAATGTCCCGACAAAACCAAAATTGTATAGTAAAGAGATTTGAAAAGTAAGGCTTTATGGTGTAATGATCACTAAAGAAGAGGGAAAGTTCCTTATAAGTTAGCACGATCTTCTAATAATCCAAGTTAGACTCTTTAAAAACACTATATAAACTATAAACTTTATACCAATCGAGTCAAAATTGCCTAAAATGGAAGGGCACCCGGGTAGAAATTATAAAATCCCTAAAGTAAAGACCATAAACATAATCGTTATAACTAAATATGTTTATAGAAGAAGCATAAATATTAAAGTAATGACCATATGTAAAGTAGGTCTTATTGGAATTAAAATTGAAAGACATAGATACTAAAGTTCAATAGTAGGCGGTAGCTTATAACACAACCAACCACAAAGAACAAAGGAAGTTCTTATGAAAAGGGGTAACAAGAACAACTTCAAGTATGTTATGATTGACATAAGCAAGAAGTAAAGGTGTGAGCATAATAGACTCGTATGATGGAGTATAACAATAGTCATAAAAAGTATCTTATACTTAAAATGATACTTTTATAGTAAATGATGTACTTGCAAAGCCATAATAGATAGAAGCCAACTTTCATAGCTTCAATATCATTATAAGTTGATAAAGCTAGAGCATAGGCGAGAATAGAGTTTAATATCCATCACTAAATTCAAAAAATAAGCCTTATATCGGGCATCCGAGTTCAATCGATGCCATGGCATAACGGATATCTACCCCTATAAGGGAATAACTGATCAAAAACACCACGTCTTTCGGAGTGATGCCCATAGAACCTCTTTTTGTGAGGATGCAATTGTTGCATTATTCCATAAATCAAAGATAGCCTTAAGAAGAGGATGATTAGGATGAAGGCTATGGTTTGTGGTCGAGTTGAGTATTTTAAAGATTTGCATGCTTTGCCAATTCTTTGAATGGTGGAATGACTCCGTAAATTAGTGCAAAAGGCATTAATCTAAGGTTAAGGGTCCATTCATGTTCTAGTAGGATGTTTGGTATAACTCTTAAAGTGATTCCACTTCACCCTTTTCATAACATTAGGTGACATCGGGGAAATGTGGCCCTCTCATCAAAAATTAAACATCCCAATAGTATGTATGCTCTTTGAATGTCATCTTTTGATTCATAACCCTAAAATAAAGAAGGTCTTAGAGTTTGGGGATGATCGGCATGAAAATCAATAGAAGCTTCACAAACCTTAATAAGAGTGGATGATAAAGTGGAATGGATTAAGGAATGGCGATAAAAGGGAATAGACTTAAAATGGCAAGTCTAATTATAGGGCAATCTCATATATAGAATGGAGTGGAGAAGGAGACTTTTAGGATTTAGAATGAGATTTGACGCTAGAAGTCATAGGAAGTGAATGAAAAATTCAAAGGATAAAGGATTGAGAAAGAAAAGATGTAGGGCTTGAAAACACAAAGATTGAAACCCTAGCATTGGGAAGCAAACCACCATAAAGTTTGAATTAGAAATTGATTCAACAATGGAAGGACAACCGATATTCCTTCGTATTTATACATTATAATTAAACAAACGTATGGATTTAAATAATCATTACAGAGTGAAGAGATGTACTAGTTTTAGATATCAATTGTAATATTGGGGTTTAAGGAGAAGACAAATGAGCACTAAAGCCTACGACGAAGCATTTCTTTTCGCACGTGAGAATTGATTTCACACATAAAAAAGAAGAGGGACATATATTATACCCAAAATTGAATAGGGCTCGATGCACTCAACAAGTTAGTAAAGGCTTACTTCTTTAGTTATAAAACTCATATAGAAGCAATTAATGCACCCAAGGCCAAGTCCACAAGATGAAACCTAGATAACAACACAAAGAAAAATGGTCCAAAAGAATTTTACACTTAAAAAACAAAGAGACCTAATACAATTCTCAATGGAATTGCATTATAGATGAAAGACATGAGAGGCCAAGCCCTATTTGTAATGAGAGGCTAAGTGAATTGAATGAATGGAACCGAAATAAGATAGAATACCGAGAGAACATGGAGGACTACAACGCAAGGTAAACATAGAGCATTGCAACCCAAAGAAGGAATTTATGCAATTCAAGAATGTAGTCGAGTAAAGAAGGATGTACAAGTATGAGAAAGGCTATAAATACCAGTTGTAGACAACAATCGCAGGCACACAATCAACAATAATAAATACAATACAACTCTTGTAAATTATTAGCTTTATCTTTTAATTCAAACACTTGAAATCCATTAGGCTATAGTTTGTAGGTTGTAATCAAGTAAGTTGTAAACAAGTAGACCGATAGATAGTCTCCGGTTCGATTCCCACTTTCGTTGCAATATATGTAGATCCCGTCTCTTGATGTTTGGAGTTTTGATTGGTGTTTTTTCGGTAGTTTCAGCATCCGTAAGTCTTTATATTTTCAATATCATTGTCATTTGTGAAGATTTTGGATTCAGTATTTAAAGATTCTAATTTTCATTCAAATTTGTATTCCATAGTTCTTATACTTACTCGTCAAATTTAAAGTAATTAATAATTGTGAAAAAAAAAAGTTAGTTTATGTTTTGAGATATTGGTTTCATTAATATTTATTTAGAATCACTCGTGTATATATATATTGGCCATCTAATTTAGAGTCCGTAAAGAAGATAGATTGTCTTATAGATTGTCTTCCAACCTTCATATAATTCTTCTATTTCAAAGTCTTCTTAATTGAGGTCGACACAAAAGAATCCACAGCACCATGATATAGCTTCTGCTACCAATCACTTTTCAAGCAAGAGAATGTTGGGACAAGGGGAGAGAATGTTGGGACAAAGGGGTACTGGATGTGTTCACGAAGGATTCCTAAAGAATCCCAACGCTAAGGTTGTTGTTAAGAGAATATACAGAGGATACAAACATGCCAAAGAAGTCTTCACCACTGAATTAAGCATCATGAGTCAGTTGGAACATAGGAACATTATGCCATTGATAAGTTGGAGCAATGATGGAGGTGAGTTTTTGCTTGTATATGGTTACATGTCAAATGGAAGTCTAGACAATCATCTTCTTGGAAACGGTATGCAACTACCACGGAAGGCAAGGTTCAATATAGCTCTTGATTTGTCATCGGCATTGCATTATCTGCATCAAGAATCAGAGAAATGTGTTTTGCATCGGGATATCAAGTCAGCTAACGTGATGTTGGACTCAAAAATCAATGTCAAGCTTGGTGTTTTTGGTGCACCTATGTTTCTAGATCACCCTGACTTGGCCCTACAAACCAGAAAGATGGTAGGGACATTGGACTTTGTAGCTCCTGAATATTACTATCAAGGCAGGGAAGGTAAAGAACAGATGTTTATAGCTTTGGGGTTGTAGTTTTGGAAATAGCTTGTGGAATAAGGAAACACAAAGATGAGGAGTCACAGCTGGGGCTAGTTGATTGGGTTCGGGAGCTTTATGGAGCTTGGAATGTCCTTCAAGCAGCTGATGAGAGGTTAAACGTGGATTTCAATAAGCATGAGATGGCATGTTTATTGGTTGCTGTATTGTGGTGTGCTCATCCAATTGCCAAGCAGAGGCCTAAAATCAGTCAAGCTATCGAGGTTCTTAAATTTGAATCTCCATTGCCAAATCTTCCATTTGAGATGCCTCATTTTTTTGGGAACTTCAAAACTTGAATCTGCAGAATCAAGGCTTCCCTCCATCACTCCTGAGTCTTGAGATTGGCTCTCAGTTGTCTACTATAGTATTATTCTTAATCCTTACAGCAAAGGTTTCCACTCCTATACCTTATCCAATCTGGCAATGCGGCATTTATTTGATTTTCCATGCAACTGTGGCTTTGCTATCAAGTTATGAAGTACTTCGTCTCTCGGTCCATCATAAAAGAATCATCTCTGCAGTGATCTTGATCTTCCTGGTAGCCCCTGTGCTCATTGTTTTTTCTTCATAGTTGTGCCATTGGAGGGCACAGGCGCAATGGACAGACATATCTGTCTCATCTTGGCCATCCACAGCCCACATGCCAGCTAAACCCACCAGCACGTAAGAGCTAAGGAAGACCTGGATAGGCAGTTGCAATAGACACAGCTATCTTAGCAATCCTCTTATAGTTATAAAAAAATTTGGTTAGTTTCATCATTAGCTCTATCAATTATCACATGGCAAGCGATTCAAATTTGTCTTCTGAGTTGGGGAGGGGGTGGTAGTGTTACTGGTATCCATCCAATACGGACAGATTACAGACTTAAAGCTCCTAGAAACGAAGAACAATATTGACAAGACCAGATAATAGGATCAGATAATGGTTGCTTGTAAATCAGCTTAAAACCTATTCATCTTCACCAGTCCATATCAACCATGTCTCCCTCTGGCCAAAACTCAATGTAAGCACAAGCAAATTCCAGGTTTTTTTTCCTTCTTTTATATATGTGTTTTATGGGTGCGCGCTGGGAGTTCAACATTTTCGTTTCTACGCAAAACGTGTCATTTTTTCCCTTCTGCGTCCTAGATGAATTTCTGCGCATCCAAGTTTCCGACTCTCACAAATTTAAAATACATATACTGAAACTTGGTGTAATACATCTGCAAGTGGTAGAAATTCTACGTGTAATTAATGTCCATATACATTAGTATTTGTCTTTGTATATATATACTCAAAACAAATGTAAACAAACCTGCAAAAAGAAGTAAAAGCCTCGTCTAAAAGAAATTCGTCCAAATATCTGGTTTTTTCTCAGGTTAAATTGAACATCTGGCTTTCTGAGGGATCTGATATGCTAAAATCTCCCAAATTTCTGCTCTTCTTTTCTCGATTAAAAGGTCCATCTGCCTTTCTGTATAGCACAGGAATAAAAGGGGAGACACCATCACTCCTCTGGCCGGAAGAAACTATATGTTGAACTGGTCTCAGTCTTTGTAACCTGCATCACCACATTTAAGGCTTTTATGAAGCAAGTATACAGGCAGCAATAAATCTTCGTTAGAGCTTTACCGTATACTGACTATGAGGTTCAATAAAGAAATAATTTGAGTTAAACCTGACTATCCTTGCTCTCCCATTACTGATAAAATTCTAAAACTGCATGGTGTGATGAAGGTGCCATGAGGAATCCCGAATGATATTTATCAGGTTGAACTTAATTTAGTGTCAACTTTGTACTCTTATAATGACAGATGAGATTGTCGAGCAGTATTAGTGTATCTCAAAACTACAGACAAGAACCCTGCTGTATTACCAAGAAAACCTCACTGCTTTATTGCTTCCCATGATATGCAAAACTACATGACCAAATTTTTTTTGGGATAAAATTTCTGACAGGATATTAGTTCTACATGATGTTTCTCTGGTATTCTATACAGATTGATCAAACTCACACAAGATGACTGCAATTTTCCTGACCTCTGAAACTGACTAATGATTACTCATAAATTTATAGTAAGTTTTATAAAGAATTTATCTTCTTGAGAGTCTTTAAAAAGAAATGTTCTTGTAATCTAGCAAGAAAACAGATACAAGAAAAACGGGGAATCAAAGATCAAAAAAAAAAAAGAAATATTGAGAAGCTTTAAGTCTACCTCAGGATTTCGAGAAAGTCCAGTAGGAAGAGCTGGAACAAGAGACGTCCAAAGGATGGGGTCTACTAAGGGATCGATTGTGTTGTAGTTGGTCAGAAGGGGAGCAGACAAGAAAGGAGTCAATGGGTACACATTTCTTTGAAGAGACAATCCCCCCGTCATTCCTAATGCAGCTCCAAGCCTTTCACTACTGCCATCGTGACTTGTGGGCTTCTCAACTGCTTTGCCGTGGTCCATCTTGTTGATAGTATTTTTGTTTTCATTCTCATCATTTTCAGTGCTAGTTTCTTGATTTTTCAATGCCTTCTCTTGTAAGCTCTTGTATGCAGCTGACTGTGACAAAATGCTCAAGGCAGATAGCGTAGAACCTTTATGCCTTTTTCCTTCAACAGATAAGCCTAAACGGGGCATCTGGTATGGCTCAGTACATTGTACTTCTCGTTCTGATGTTTTAAGTTCAATGCCAATGTCATCAGCAAAGCAATGTTTTGTATCTTCTGATGACTTTGTGATAGATTCTGCTTGACGAGTTTTATTGGAACCCCACCATTTAATATAGCCTGTCAGATCTATCTTTCTCTCAATACAAAAACTGTATTCACTTTCAGCTGCTTGATCATCACCTGCACCTTATAATGAAATATTCCCCTTAGATAGTTGGCAGTGGTTTTTGGAGGTAAAATAGGTGGGAGAATTCAAATACATACAGGAGCCTTCAGTTACCAAATTACTGTCAAAAGACAATGTTTGCATGGCAACGTAACACTGCAGAATTCTTTGATACAATTTGGTGCTCTTGATTAATGGTAATAGAGAATTCCTGAATTAAGAAATCAGACCTTACCATAGTTTACACTACTGAAGTATTCAGATCCAGGCATGCGACTATAAGACGAGTCCCATCGACTGAAAGCAGAAACAGAAAATTAATAATATTTTAAGCATATAACATTAATCATATACCAAAAGAATGCTTTGGAGAAGAACAAACAAGTACCATAAATGAATAGATAATTTTCGCAGAAAAAAGTAGAAAGATGTCAAGAGCGTACCTAGATAGTGCACGATACTTTGAGATTCCTCTGGAAAAACCACTACTCTTTCTGCAGAAAACATCCAACATTAGAAACAGCATGATTATAATAAACAGAATTTTTTTCAGACTAGATAGACACCTGCGAAGTGATGCCAGATACTCTTCTCTCGAGACATTCTGCATTTCTTCAAGATCTCTCGTATAATCAGTAACCTGCAGGACACAGTAGCAAAACTTAATCAGTTAACAGAGAAACATGAGCGAGCTCTAGCAACAGATTAAGAAAGGTCCAACTGTGCAGCATTTATCTCACTGGAAAATTAATGAGTGTTCCAGGGCCCCAATATTTCAAAGCAGCAAGATCATATGCCCTAGCTGCAGCTTCCTCATCATCATATGCCCCTGTAAGTGGGTAGAACTTAATAAATCTAATCAATATGAAGAACAACAAGCATAAACATATTTCAGAAGATAGTATAAAGCCAGTAACATACCCAAGTATACTGGAAGAACGAGCCCCAGAAAACCATTCCAAGCACAATGAGGAGACAAAGACAGTGTCAGTTTGCATCATGTACCTGTGACCGCATTGTAAAGAAAAGAGGAGAGAGAGAGAGATAGAGAGGAGAGAGAGACCTTGCTTTCCCTTCTTATTCTGATTCTGGTTCCATGTACTCTTATCCCAAAGATGAGCTTCATATCGACCAGTCCACCTATGCCTATTTACCAAACCAGACAATAGAAATGTGAGATCAAGTATCAAATCACGATTGTGTGTTGCTATTGATTACCCTTAAAAATCCACGGTAACCACCCCACACACTATTATTATCTTCCTCAAATCACAAATTCACAAGCTTCTAAATGACCCAACATCACATTTATACCATTTAAATAAAAACAAACGCTCCTTTTCATTTCCAGCTACTACATTGATCCAACAGAACCCTTGTATCAAATTTCCTCTTAGATTAGCATTTTCAAATTACAGAATTGCCTCAAAACTTTCTCCCACAACCATTTCTTTCCTCTAAACCCTCATGTACACATATCATCAAACACGTAATACACATAAGCAATTAACCTGCTAACTTCAATTTTTCCCCAACACAATCACACTTCACAAATCACAAACAATTATACAAAAACATAAAAAGATCTAAACTTTAAACCCAAACCCTAAGAAAGAACCTTGTACATACCCGTATAAAAGGTACAAATACACACACAGATACGTATATATATACATATATACCTGGTGACGCCACGGTAAATGGAGCTACGTTTACCAGCAGTACAAGGAGGCATCTTGCTAATCCTTTCTTTTGCAGTGCATCCTCTTTCTTTCTTTGGCTTCTTTAGTCCTCTGTATAGTAATAACTGATCGTTTGCTATCACCGCCGCCTCTGAAGTCTCTCCACCTCTACCTCCTCCTCCGCCTCCGCCACCACATCCGCTGCCGCCGATTTCTGGCTTTAAGACCGGATCAGAAGAAGAAGACGCCATGATTTGATTAAAAAAAACCAACAAATTGAGAATTGAAAGGGAAGCATCTTTTTGACTGTTGGTTTTTCACTGAAGTAGAGTGGGTACTGAAGCTAAAATGACGGGGATATCCTTGATCGGTTTGGAAATGACGATGGTGTTTTGGGCCTCTTACAGGGTGAAAAAGGGCATAACGGCTAGGAGGAGGCGAGGGGTATTTTGATAACTTAATTGCATTTGAAAGATTATGGTTGCTTGCTGGGTATGTGGAGGCCAACTGCCACTTGTCAGGTTTTGGAAGTGCTTCGTGTCGTGATTGAAAATGACGTCGTAGTTGTCATTATTGCAAAGGTTGAATTGTTTCTTTGCCTGCTTTTCAGGCGACTTGGCATGTGATTATACCATGCAAAACGGCCACCGATTGATTCCTTCTATTGTTTTTTTTATAGGATAGTGATGTTTTCTACTTCGATAACAGTACATTACAAGGCAAAATAGATGGGCTACATATCATACATAAAGAAAGACGAGGGAATGCTCATCGTCTTCTAAAAAAAATATTCCTTTTCTTATTACAAAAACGACTCACTTTTCGGGACGTTATTTTACAGATATATATTATAAACAATAGACCAAGACTGTTTCACCAGCTGTGTTATCCAACAACTGACTGCTTCACAATGCATTGCCGAACTAGATATCATGTATTTGCTAGGTATCATGTTGTGTCGATAACTAGATATCATTTGCTTCTAACTTTCCCCCGAAGAGAAACTAGACTGCCCGAACATTTTTCCATAGTCCATGACCTATCTCGGCAAAAATAGGACATTGTTGAACCAGGAAAGCAGCCCGGATCACCATTCTGTCCACGGTGGATTATCTATTCTTGAGTGGCAGGTTTAATCCAAATGGGATTGAGATCCTCTCAGGTTCTTGAGAACGTAGTTGATTGCGTTTGATGCCCAATGTTGATGGAATTGAACATTACATTGTCACTGCTCTTCATATTCTCATAGATATAATGATGCTAGTAATGACTTTGTATTCCCACCTTCTCGTGTTCCTCACATTAGGCCATTTCCATCCCCTGCTTCAATTGCACATGACACTCTGGCATCCTCCTTGATCACAGACATAGCCTGCATTCTTATACAACATTTTGGAAGTAAAGGATCTCTCAGGCATCGATTGACATACTGAGAAAGGTTCCCAGCTGAAATTTCATCAGGAGCATCAACTGCAGTAACTAATTTCTAGTAACACATTTCCCACTCCAAAGTTCCATTCCTCATAAATGTCACAAATAATCATCTTTCCACACTTTGGATATATGACTGGCAAAGTCATAGCCAAATCTTTCAGGGCATGGGTTAACATTTTTCCCATTTGACCAGAGGAAGGTAGTGAGGGAAGGATCTCACACCTTGCTTGTCGAGACTTCATTCCCAGATTTTTTTTCTCAATGATTCTGCAAAACATAAATGGCCAAGATAAGAAACAGAAACCCAATGGATGAGCAATGGAGGTAGACTTGTAGATGATGAAATGACTAGTTTTAAATATATTTTCACTTATATTAGATAGAATCATGTGTTCCAAAACATGATTCTCTTGAGCAGGAGAAGTATTTGCATACCGACTCTTTCCTGTATGATAGAAGCATAAGTGGCTCCACTTTTCTGTGCAAAGGAGAATATGTCGCAATACATTCCATTTGAAGGCTGAACTCCAGCTTCCTCCATCCATTCCAATACCTACATTACGAATTTAGTGAGTCTTTCCAATGACCTAGAATTGCAATTTAACCCAAGCGCAGGAAGTCCATGTTTTATAGCCAAAAATAGTTTTAAGGAAACAAGCAAGAGGCAAAGTGGCTAGTCCTGCCACTTGCATGTCCATAATGTGGACAAGCATAAACAAGCAAAATTTTTATATTGAAGCAATTTAGCTAGCAGCCATCAAAGAGCAAAATAGAAAAATTGAAGCATAATCTGACAGATCAAGTCACATTGAGTACTTGTGATGACTAATATTTCCTCCATAAAAATATAATTATGAACAATAAATTTCAAAGATAAAATTGACTACTACTCTAATTATTAAGCAATGCTTTCCTCACATGGGACAGTTCTTAAAGGAAATTCCATTAAAATTTAGAAAAGAATAGCCAACTTTTTTGCAGTCATATAGCATGCTTTAACCACTATGCTGTTGCGCCAATACTTGGTTCCAATGCATGCCTCATGTAACTTACAAACACATTGATTCAAAACTTCTAACAGACATCATGTGATGCCCCAAGTCCCACTTCATACGAGTGTTAGAAGATTCTGAGAAAATCCCAGGTTGATTGCTACCATATCTAACAAGAAATTGATGAGAATGAACACCAACCACAACATTTATTATTTTTAAAAAGTTATGAAATTCTATATCATATGTGTAGAAAGATTTTGTATTATTAGACTATTCTAGAAATCATTCTATTTAAGAAGCAGATCGCTAGTCTCCTAAGTATTTGGGATTAATTTCCTAAACACTAGTTGTCTCTATAATTTAGGGATTTTATATGATTTTTTCCTTATGAAGCAAATGTAGCTTTTCCTCTTTGCTTATAAATATGTTCTTAACTCAATATATATAAGAAAAAATGCTCTCTACTAGAAAGTTTTATGGTATCGAGCCTTGTTGCCTAAGTAGTCACGAGTTCAAATCTCACCACCTTCATTTCTTTTCTAATTAATTAAGCACAAGTCGGTGTGAACCTCTGTAAATTTCAAGCCCAAAGAACTTTCACTTGAGAGAGTCATGTAAAATCATTCTTCAAGCCTCACCTAACAGCTTAAGTTTTTAGGTTGAGATGGTCATTTGTCATGGTATCGAGTCGGGTTGTCTTGTTTGGTTGTTTGTTGTCTAGTCTATTGTTTTTTGTTTATCCCTCAATCTTTATCCTTGTGTCCTGTCTTTGAAGCCACCAAGTAATGAGTTCAGGAAATGCGACTTCCAACATGTTCTCTTCTACCACATATGAACCCACTCATTCATCGGTGGTTTCACAATCCTTTGAAGGATCGTCACTACAAATCACCAACCACAGGTTAGATGATAAGAACTTTTTCAAAGATCCCAATTAGTTCTCTTGGTTATCTAAGGGAGAGGAAAATTGGGATACATTACTAGAGATATTCATCTACCCAATGTAGGGGAACCAGCCTATGTTAACTGAGAACTCAACAACTCACTAGTCATGGTATGGCTGATCAACTCAATGGAACCTCACATCAATTGCACTTACTTGTTTTTCCAAACTGCCAAAGCAATTTGGGATGCTATCAATGTAAACTACTCTAACCTTGAAATTCTTTGAGAGTAAAACTCAACTGAAGGAAAGACGACAAAATAGTATGAATGTAACTAAGTATTATAATGAGTTACAAATATTTTGACGAGAGCTGGATAAGCATTATGGAGAAAATTGGAGAGACCTTGAAGGCAATTTGAAGTTTAAAAGGCATTTAGAGAAGGAAAGGCTGTATGAGTTCTTGACTGGTCTCACCTGAGAGCTTGATAAGGTGCGAGGAAGGATACTAGGGCATAGACCAGTATCCTCTATTGATGAAGCATTTGCAGAAGTAAGACAAGAAGCCAGCAAGAGACGTGTTATGCTTGGTTGAAAAAAGGACTCCATGTCTATCTTGGCTGGGGAAAGGCCTATCGATACAACAGCTCTTACTGTATGCAATTCCTATGACAGACTTGGTGGAGATAAAAAAATAATCAGGGAGGGGGACGTCTTTGGTGCAACCGTTGCAACAAAACTGGTCAAACCCGTGATAACTGTTGGGATATCCACGCAAAACCAGTGAATTGGAAGCCTCAAGGAATAAGTAAAAAGGGTTTTCAAGTAACAGTGAAGGAAAGAACTCATTCTAGCAACGAGTCAAAAGGTGTATTTCTAAGCAAGTCTCAACTAGAACAGTTACAGAAATTGTAGGGTCAGTCAACAATGAGTGATACAGCTATTAATAGTTCAATCCATAAAGATACAGTTCTTCATGCTAAAAATACAAATACTTGGATGCTTGACTCTAGAGCATCTGACCATATGACAAGTAACTTATCTTTGTTTTATTCCCATACTCCTTGTCATGAAAAATTCATAATTAAAGTAGCAAATGGTACTTTTTCTTTTGTTACTAGACAAGACTTAATTCATCTCTCAAAGGAGATTTCTTTAAGTTCTGTTCTTTATGTACCAAATCTTGCTTGTACGTTGATCTCCATTAGCAAGATTACCCGTGAGCTTAACTGCATTGCTATCTTATTTGGCAACTCTTGTATGCTGCAGGACTTGGAATCAGAGAGGATGATTGACAGTGCTAGAGAAGAAGGTGAACTCTACTATTTTAGGGATAGCAAATATGACTAAGCAACTTATTGTGGTTGAGAGTGACTCTATTTCTGCTTCCAATAACAACGCAATAACGTTGTAGCACCGTAGGTTAGGACACCCAAACTTTTATTATCTCAAATATTTGTTTCCAAATTTATTTATCAATAAAAATCCTAATTCTTTCAATTGTGAAAATTGTCATCTTACTAAACATAATCGTACATCATTCCCAATCCAACCATACCAAGAGTCTCATCCTTTTTCCTTAATTCATAGACATATGGGGACCCTCTAAAATAAAACATTTCTTCGATACACAGTGGTTCATCACCTTTATCGATGACCAAACTTTGAGTTTTTTGAGTTTATCTACTTAAAGAAAAATCTAAGTCTATAAAAACATTGCAAACTTTCCATTTAATGATAAAAACCCAATTTCACACTCCTATCCAAGCATTGAGAACCAACAATGGAAAAGAAATTTTTAATGCAATTCTTGGAAACTATCTTGAAACTAATGGAATAATGCAACAAAGTTCATGCCCAAACACACCTCAGCAGAATGGTGGCAGAAAGAAAAAATCATCCCCTCCTTGAAGTTGCTTGAGCCTTAATGTTTACCATGCAAGTTCCAAAACATCTTTGGGGGAAGCTATTATAATAACCTCTTACCTCATAAATCGAATGCCCTCTCGAGTTCTTAAATTTAATCCTCCTTTGTCAACTTTGCTAAAAACTTACCCAACCTTTGGTTCTATTTCTTCTATACCACTTGAGACTTTCGTTTGTTCTGCTTCTGTACATGTCCAAAATCGTTCAAAACTTGACCCAAAATCAGTCAAATGTGTCTTCATTGGGTATTCTCCCACTCAATGTGGGTACAAGTGTTATTCTTCATCACTTCGTTGTGTTTTTATTTCCTTGGATCTCTTTTTTTTTTTTTTAAATCTTAATCTTTTTTTCAGAATACTCATCTTCAAGAGGAGATTTCAAAAGAAGATAAGTCTTGGGAAAATTCTGAAACAGAATCTCCTTATCCCTATCTACCTCTTTAATTTCAACTCCGATTCCTAATATTGAATCTCACCCTATTTTGCCACTTAATACACAGAAACATTGGAAACAAGGAGAGATAACTCCCAGCCACAATTACTTATTTATTCACGCAGGAAACATTCTCAAAAGGGTGATAAACCTGAAACTCAGCATGGTCAAGATTCTGATCAGAGTCTGAGTCCTGCTGTCGAAGGTATCATTGAACCTATTCAACATGATATTGAGCTTCAAATCACACTTTAGACTTGGCTCTTCCAATTGTTCATAGAAAAGGAACCTGGTCCTGTACTAAGCATCCCATATCCCAGTTTGTCTCTTATGAAAAGTTGTCCCCTGAATTTCATGCTTTTACTGCTTCATTATCAAGAACAGAGACACCAAAAAGTATACAGAAAGCACTTGCTGACCTGAAGTGGAGTAGCTTTTCAAGAAGAAATAGATGCCTTGAACAAAAAATGGCACATGGGAGATTGCACAACTGCCTGAAGGGAAAAAGACAGTGGGTTGTAAGTGGGTTTTCACAATGAAGTTCAATGCTGATGGTAGTATCAATCAATACAGAGCCAGGCTTGTGGCCAACGACTTAACCTGACATATGGAATTGACTATCAAGAGGCTTTCGCTCTAGTGGCCAAGCAAAATACAGTAAGAGTTCTTTTCTTCTTAGCCTCTAATCTTGATTTGCCACTACAAAAATTGGAAGTAAAGAATGCATTCCTGAATGGTGATTTCCATGAAGAAGTCCATATGGATGCTCCTCCTGGATCTGAAAGAATGGACAACCTGGAGTGTAGATTGAAAAAATCTCTCTATAGGTTGAAACGGTCTCCTAGAGAGTGGTTTGGAAAATTTACGCAAGTTATCAAGAGAAGGGTTTTGTTCGAGCACAATCTAACCACACATTGTTTTACAAGCACTCTAAAGATGGAAAAATAGCCATCCTTATAGCGTATGTGGATGATATTATCCTCACAGGAGATGATCACGTAGAATTGACTTCTTTGAAGTACCTTGCAGAAGAATTTGAATTAAAAGACTTGGGGATCTAAGGTACTTCCTTCGTATGGAAGTTGCTAAAAGCATATCAGGGATTACAATTACACAATGAAAATATGCACTTGATCTTCTTCAAGATGCATGTATGTTGGGTTGGAGACAAGTTGAGACACCTATGGATCCAAATACTAAGTTAGATACTGAAGGAGTTAGAGAAGTTGATCGGGAACAATATCAAAGGCTTGTAAGGAAGCTGATTTACTTGTCACACACAAGACCAGATATTACCTTTCCAGTAAGTGTGATTAGTTAGTTTATGCATTCACCTAAGTAGACACATCTTAATGCAGCCAATAGGATTTTGAGGTATTTAAAGAATACTCATTGTAAGGGCTTATTCTTTAAGAAAGGTAAATATAGAATGATAAAAGTTTATACTGATGCAAACTGGGCAAGTTATTCCTTGGATAGAAGGTCAACTTCGAGTTATTGCACATATTTCTAGGGTAATCTTGTAACTTGGAGAAGTAAAAAGCAACCTGCGGTTGCCAGAAGTAGTGCAGAAATTGAGTTTCGAGCTTTAGCTCAAGGTATTTGTGAAGGAACATGGCTAGAGCGATTGCTTAGTGAACTGAAGATGTCGAATAGTTTTCCCATGGAACTGTATTGTGACAACAAGGCAGCAGTAAGTATAGCTTAAAATCCTGTCCATCACGATCGAACAAAACATGTAGAGATTGATCGACACTTCATCAAGGAGAAAACTGACAGTGGAAGTGTGTGCATGATTTATATTTTTACAAAAAATCAAACAGCTGATATTCTAACTAAAAGTTTGCATAAACAGAGCTTTGAAGACATCGTAAGCAAGCTGGGAATGATTAACATATATGCCCCAGCTTGAAGGGAGTGAAGAAAGATTTTTTGTTATTAGACTATTCCATAAATCGTTCTATTTAGGAAGTAGATTGTTAGTCTCCTAAGTATTTGGGGTTAATTTCCTAATTACTAGCTGTCTCTATAATTTGGGGATTTTATTTGATTTTTTCCTTATGAAGCATATATAGCTTTTTCTCTCTGCCTATAAATATGTGCTTTCTTACCTCAATATATATCAGAACAAATACTCTCTCCTAGAAAGTTTCAAAGCGAAAGAATTCTGATTATAAGTCACCTCAATATATTTCCTCCAATTTCCAACTGCCAAAAGATTCTTCAACAAGATCGAGTAAGTGCTGCAGTTGATTTCAGCACCTGATCCTATAATCTTGTAAAACAACTGCAGTTGTGGACAGATAATGTAGAGAAAGGTTAGCTTATAAACATCATGAATAAACGTAGCTAGTAAATTAGCTCCCACTACTGATATCCACAAAGATTTAGGCTGTTTACCATATAAGATGCTTAACAAGAGGAAACATGAAGGAATAATTTAAACTGTTTATTGGTTTCAATGCTGTATTCTCGGCAAATACAAATATCATAATACTTAGACATGTGAAAAGTATTCGAATACCTTCATCATAGACTCAATTTTTCCAGTTTTCCCCAGAAGATGCAGAAGCTGATTCAGAAGTCCAATAGAAACAACAGAGAATGAAGGCTCCATCAATTTAATTAAGTCGATCATCGTTTGCCAATCTCGTAATCTAGACCCAAATTTCCTGAGCTAGTTACTTTGGGAACATGAGCATAATGATGTATTATCAAGAGAGCAGGATATCTACATGTCCAGAAAAACACGCTTACCAAGGCAATTTGCGTAAAAGAGTGGATACTTACAGGCTACAGGCTGATACCATCTCAAAGAAAATAGCATCACTGAAGGAGATTTCTCTCTCTCTCATAAACTCTGCAAGAATGAGAACCTTTGATGGATCATCTCCTTTATTGAAAGCTCTCATCAGAGCTGAACATGCAATAGTGTCTGGTTGGATATTATATGCTTCCATTTCTTGAAGAAGAGCCCCAGCCTTTTTCCAGTGTTCTGTACTTGGACAAAACCAAAGAGAGGTATTTAGCTTGGGAGATGATTTATTGCATGCCATTGCTAATCATGTCAATCTCATACAAACTGACCTGCAGCATTATAAGCATGTAGCATCATAGTATATGTAACAACATCAGGACAACATCCAGTCATCTTCATCTTATTGAACATAGATTCTGCTTCTGTGATTTTGCCCTAATATATATCAAAAAGCAAAAGAAAAGAGATTTTCATATATTTGTTATAGATTAGTAAGAGGCATAACTTGCCAAAGCACTTGCCTGCTTGCTGTAGGCACAGATCACAGAAGAGTAAACTTCCCTGGTCATTGGAATTTTCAAGTTCATCATTTTGGAAAAAAACTCAAGTGCCTCGCCATATTTTGACATTTTACAGCAACCACTTACTAAGACTGTGAAAGTAACAGCATCAGGAATCACTTTCCTTCTTCTCATGGCTCTGTACAGAGAAATAGCCTTTTCAAACTCTCCCACATTCATATAGCTTCCAATAGCGGAATTATATGCAATTGTATTCAATTGAATGCTTCGCATTTCAGCTGCTTGAAGCACAACATCAATATTCACCCTCCTAGCACAGTGTCCACAAGCTGCCAAAAGAGTGCATATTGAGACAACATTTGGAGAGATTCCATCTTGTTCCATTTCACGCAAAACTTCCACAGCTTCGGCAAGCAAACCATTAGATCCATAGGCATCAATCATTGCATTGTAGCTGACAAGATTTGGCTTCCACTTGTCTCCCTTCATCATCTCAAATACTTCCCTTGCCTTTTTAGGTTGTTCTGATCTTCCATAAGAATTTAGCAAAGAAGTATACGATACAACATCAGGGCGAAGTCCACTGTTTTTAATTTCATTGAAAACAGATAATGCCTCTTTACTCATCCCCTGAGAAGCATACGCTCCCATAAGTGTATTGTAGGAAACAATATTAGGCTTGAGACCTTCAGCGACCATAGTACTAAACACAGCCCTACAGTTTTCTATCTGCCCATTCACTGAATACAAGTGAGCGATGCTTGTAAATGTTACAATGTCAGGGTGGCACTCTGCTCTCTTCTCCCTCATGGAATTGAAAATAGCAATGGCTTTCTCATAGTGGCCAAGCTTTGTTAAGCAATATATCACAATGTTAAAGGTTGTTGTGTCAGGACGAATATTTGTACCTTTCATTATTTCAAAATAAGACAAAGCTTTTGAATACTGGGCACCGCTCTTGTATGCAGATAAAATAATATTGTGAGTCACTAGATCAGGTCCAACTCCATTTTCAGTCATTTTCTTGCAAACCTTCAGAGCTTCTCTCCAATTTCCACTAGATCCGCAAGCATTGATCAAGTTATTATACGTAGACCGACTGGGAGCAATCTGCAGAGGTAAAATTAAGGAATCAGAAACCTCTTATGATTTCAGACGACTCAAGTGCATAAGAAAGTAATAACAGGTCATTTACCCAATTTCTCTTTTGTTTCATACATGAAAAAAGAAATCAATCTCTGCTAAGGTCTCAGCAAAGTGGGTCCTAGAAGGGAGACTCAAAAGATAATCCTATTTTTACATGAAATGACTGCCCTGGTGACTCAAAGTTGCAAGACCAAGACTTTAACTACTCTTAACACATAGAAATAAATTTAAGAAATACAGGGAAGACAGCAGCATATTCTATGGAAACATTCAAGGGAACTTATTATTATTTTGCCAAACTATCAGTGTAATCAAAAGCCTATTCTGAACATCCATGCATACCAGTTGAACAATTCATGGGCATAGGTAAGTCATAAATCAAGTTGTCATCAATAAGCTTCAGTCAAAGCTCACTCCTTGAATACCTACCCCAGAAAAGGAATGCTGTTTAAAAAACGTATAGAAACAAAAATTTTCAAGTCAATTTGGTGGCTGTAGTGATAGATTCCTAAAGACCAGCAAACATTTCTCCACAATTCCAATTTAACATTAAAAGGAAAAGGAAGCTCACGTCAAGTCAGACCTACTAAGATTAATTAGAGAAGAAGAAAATAAATACACACAGCTTGCTGCAGCATGTCCTCCATTATATTCATAGCCCAACGCCATTGACCTGATCGACCATGCGCATTGATAAGAGCATTGTAAGTTTCAGCATCTGGTTTGCACCTGGCAGGCAAAAAGAATAATATGAAACCATAAAGTGACCAGAAAGAAGGCTTCAGATATTTCCAAAGGGACAGAACCAAGAAAATAACTAGACAAGCACCACAAGAAAAACCGAAGGGATGTTCCAGTTCCTTGAGTACCACCTAAAGAAACAATTATATTCCACAACAACCGTGACAGGAATTGTTTATTGACAACTTTAACATTCCATTTTGTCCAAAAGCAATCAAATCCCTGTAAAAATTACTGCAATTCAATTAAAGCATTACCTCCATTTTTGCATCTCAAAAAACAACCCTCGAGCCTGATCAGTCCAATTATGCCTAGCATGCAGCCTAATCATCATATTATAAATATCTGTCCGAGCACAATAGTTCTTCTGATTCTTCATCCACCGAAAAACGAGAATGCTATGTTCAATTGAACCCTTCTGCGTTATCTCCTAAATCATTTCCAACAAAAAACAATAAGACCCTTTTCCTCCATCACCTCTCAAACAACACTCTCAAATCAATAAAGTAACATGTTAATCATGAGACAGACGTGCCCAACTCGAGGGATATGTGTCCGAGTTACAGCAGCCCATACTCACAAATCCTCGCAGGTCCCACACGTGGGGTCCAGCTCATGAGTTGATGCGGGTGAGTCTCGCGATTGTGCATAAGCATTACAGGGCAAAAAAATTATGGTTTTACCTTGATAAGAAGAGGGAAATTCTTACGAGCAAACCGGCCAACCCACCGGTTCAAGACACCTTCAACGTCATCAGACTTGTGGTCGAGTTCAAGAACTTTCTCGACAACCTGAGAAATAGACCAGTCCTTCTGGAACCTGTCTCCTTGGACTCTTAAACGGTAGCGTCGAGGAATCTGGTCTTTCCTGATTCCACTCACTTGAGTGGACACTTGGTGTACGCCCTTGTCGTAGTCCACGAACCCAGATGTTTTCTCTTCAAATGCTATGTCGCTTTTGGAATTCTTGCATAGGATTTTCGGTTTGAAGGGTGTTGTGTTTGGGCTGTGGAGGAGCGGGTGGTTGTGGTATATGGTTGCCATTTCCGGTGGGGATGCAAGGACAGTTTAGACTGCGGATGGATAAACCCTTCCCACAGGGAACAGTTATTTTAGTTTCAAGTTCAGAATTACCTTTCTGGCCCCGTCAAAACAGAGATTAACTGATAATAAACAATTATTACAATTATTACTTTATTATTATTATAAAGGTCATCCTTGCAAGCTATTTTTTTATACCGCCTTAAGAAGGAGATGCATTCAGAAAGAATTAGTAATTACTTGCTCATTGTATTCAAGAAAACATTTTAAAAAAATAAAAATAAAAATTGTTCAATAAAGAAAAATTTAATAACAAAAACTATATTTTTTTCAATTTTCGTACGCTTTGCAACTTAGTATTCAGTAAACTTGAGTTATATATTCTTTCATGAAAAAAGAATCCACTTTCGCGTAAAAGAGAAGAGCAGAACTCATGATGTATATCATGATACCCAGTTTGATTGAATAAATACAATATTAGCAAGAGAATATGATGATATACATCAAAATTTGTAAATAGGGTTGTTCGTAACAGTGATAATCAGTGTAAAACAAATACAAAAATGAAACCAGAGAGCAAAAGTATTGGGATTTTCCCAACAGTACGTGCTCTTTCTATGCCTACAAGAGAAACAGGTTACAGAAGCTCCCCCGAGGAAAATTCAAGGATCCGTCACATCTTGCTTGTATATACCTTTTACGTCCATGGTTCTACCAAAAAGACAGACCTTTGGACAATAACACAGCATGCTTTCCAGTGATAAAATGCCAACAGCCAGCTTGCTGATGCACGAACATCAGCTCGTTGGCTAAGTAGCAGCCCAAGGATAAAAACTTCGACAAAATTTATTATCTATTTGGTGCAGAAGCAAGTATGGTTCTGACTCTATGGGCATACCCAGAAGCTGATTATCTGTTGCCTCCCAAGTTTCCCTTGTTTGTGTAAAGCAGAATCAGGTGCGCTCAGTCATTAACTTTCTGTTTCTTCCAGGCTTTCTGGGGTTGGCGTGATTTGGAAGCAGAACTAGGTCTACAAAATGCTGCTTCCCCTTTCTTGTTCATCCTCCTATGCTCCATCTTTCTTTTCCCACCACCAGCTTGCTCTTTGTTCAAATTCCTTCTCTTCCAACCATCTTCTGACTGAACCTTCATCGGTTTTTACGCTCAAAGTGCCTAGCTCTTTTAGCCCCTTCCCGTCCACCACCATCACCAGTTGATATACCAGGCTTCCTCGAGCTGGGAGGGTTCTCATTTTGTTTCTTCTCCCTCTTTCTCTTGCCAGGATGCACTGAACCATTTCCCTCAGGTACAAAACCTGATTCCTTGTTCTTTGGCTTCTCCACCCTGAAGCAGCACAATCAACAGTAATTAGAATGTGATAAGCAACTAGGAGTTCATGACTTTTGCAGACAGCAATCACACAAGAGAAATACCAAATATGAAACCAAAAGGAACTGCAGATTTATCAGACCTCTTGGGTGATATATCTGCATGTGTCGTTTCTGTATCAGTTGTGTCAAATTCCTTGGAAATTGGCTTATGACGGCGATTCTGCATACATAGGTTGTGCATTAGCAACATATGCATTAAAAACAGTGAAAAAGAACCAAAAATTTCAGCAGCATCACACACATTGGATTAGATATTCTAGATAGTTCAAATCATGCTATAATATGGGTGACGATGCCATGTATGTGGGATTATTGAAAGAATGACCATTATTGATTGCTTTTTCATTAAATGAATGATTATTTATTACAAAATTCGAGGCCATATTAGAAGTGTGAGGAAATGAGATAGTCAAGGGAGAGAGAAGAAAGAGAGGAAAGAAAGGACAAAAGGGCTCTAAAAGATTCTATAGCTAGAGATAGTGAGATCTAGACAGAAAAATGGTCCTCACATAGATGTTACATTAATGGGGAAAGTTGACAGATTGATGCATTTCTGCTATAAAGGGTCTAATTTGTTGGTTATGATTTCCCTACTGAAACAGCAGTTGGTAACTCAAGAGCGCCAAAAGTCTTAGCTCTGTTCTTCGCCACTGCTCTGAATGTTCAGGTGACAATTTACATTATCATAGCAACTTTCAACTGGCTGGTGCAAGCTGGCACATGGGGTCTCAATCCAAGCTCAAGCAAAATGTTTCAAGAAATTAAAATAAAACGAAACAGAGAAGGCAATGTTTTTAGAAAAGAAAAGCAACCTGCAAAACAGTCTTGAAAAAACTCCTATGTTTCTCTGGGACATCTAACTCAACTGCAGCAGAACCACACTTCCGTATCATGATCTCCAGTATGACTGTAACCTGTGGACAAATAAACTCGTACATTTAAGAAGACCTACTAAACAGACATCAATAAACAGAATCGCACAAACACATATTTATTTGACATGTGCAAAGAAGACTAACAAAAGCATAATGCCAGAGTTACATGCCTTTGATCTGAAATGGTTTCTAGAGACAGATGACCATGGAAGAACTCTACTGATGATGTCAGATAGAAAATTCTGCAGGTCTTCTGCTTGCAAGCAAGATACTAATACTTTTGTGAAGCCCAGAACAGCCTGTTTGATAATTACCAATTAGTTCGGCACTGCTGAAATCTAAATAAAGAAATACTCCACGGCTTTGTCACTTACTTTTATGACTTCTGGGGCTTTGTCTTGCAGCAATGATAAGAGAGAGGGAACAAGATCAGGCACTTTAAGACAGATTTCTGTATCATTGTATACTAGTACGGACAGTGCAGATACTGCTCCACTCTTTATATGGGGAGATGAACCAGAGAGATAACCTGTTATCTGAGTATCGTATGACTTCATAAGAGAGCAGCTATGGTACTTATTAGTGGCAACATTGCAATGGCCAAGTTCAAGATTGTTCATCATCAGAAAAAAGACCGCTAAGAAGTAACAACTCAGGGTACAATCTAAAATTTCTAAAATAAAGTACTCCATGACTGCCAAGTAATTAGTCCATCTTCCCTTTATTGATTCCCAAAATATTTGTCTAAATTGATGTATACAACAGAATCTAATATAGTTTAACATTACAAATCAAGAAGGTAACAAGATATCTAAACACCCAAAACCAGCATTTTAATGCAGTGGTAATTCTGGCATCACATTAATCACCCGAATCCATTAATAATGTCCACTTAAAAGGTGGACTTTCGACAACAATGAACTAAAAGAGATCGTAAGCATATTCAAAAGCCTTCAAAATTTGAAGATTCACATTAGCAATATTAAATAGAACGAGCGACACACTAACCATGCTGATCAGTCTTTGATAAGCTTCTTCAGAACTGGCACAAGATGAGCTTCGCAGGGAGGAGCTTATAAAAAGGAATGTATCATAAGCCACTTTCCTAGCTTCTTCCCTTGCCTATATGTTACAGAATAGAAGCATGCAGTTAGCTTTCAACCACAAGTGTCCTAAATTTGATCAGTCATGCTGAATGTCATAAACATTGAAACAATGCCAATAACACAGCACAATGAGGAGAAAAAACATAAGACCATGTCTTGAATTTTCTGGAGCAAAAACTGGATGTCAATTTAGAATCTAGCACAAGACAGAGCTTCGCTGTTTCTTCGAAGACAATGAACTGATAGCAGCAGTAAGTACTCCAAACGGGTAGTTACTTAAATTTTTATTTAATTTAAAGTTCATTAGCAAACTCATCCAAATTTTTTAAACTAACATGATGAAAACAAAGAGAGATCAATAAATCAATGTCTTAACCTAAGTGTGCATTTTAACAAATCAACCATTTTACTTATACAAAAGGACAAGGCATGAAATATATCAAGAGCAGAGAAAGAGACGATCTTAACAAGCATTGGCAAGCAAATAACAGAGAGAGAGAGAGAGACTCAAGAGTTACATTGAGCTCTTTTTCCTCACTGAAAAATGGAAATCGGGGCTACCAAAAAAATAAAAAATAAAAAACTTGGTAAAGCACATACATCCTTTAACATGAGTATGATCTCATTGAGAATAAGAAAAGACTTTGTATTTTCCTCCTCCAAGTTCATCTGCACAGAGCAAATTAAGGAAATTAATAGAAATTCAGATTCCATTGAGTTTATCCAGGATGAGATTAGCATCACATCTGTTTCCAAAGACAACCAATGTGTGAATAATATAAGCCAAAACAACCAAAATTTACCAATGTGTGAATAATATAAACATAGTAAGAGAAACTTCGGGAGCAGAAGAAGACCGAAAAAGGAAATATATGATCATGCATGCTAGATTTAAAAACTAACCACTAATTCATGATGGTATAGTGTCTTCAGCAAAATTCTAGAAATTCTCAATCATGTTTTCACAATAATTTGTTTTAAGACATAAATTCAGGAACACAAATAACTTTAATAATGAAGATGTTTTGTATTTAAACTAAATAATACTAATAATGGACACTTTCCCATCAGGTGCCAATCTCTGTGTGAAAGAAAGTAAAGTAAGAAAAAGGGGAGTTGGAGGTGAGAGATGAGAGATGAGAGGTAGAGTGAAAGAGATACAGTAAAGCGAGAACAATATAGGTTGGAGGTAAGACATGAGAAGTTGAGACATTGTAATCCCTTGCTTCAGTGGATAGTGGATGGATCTCCTCCTCCACAAGCATAGGCATCCAGCTGGAAACATAAATTGGCAGTGTCTTCTTAGTTATTTATATTCATCTTCTGTATTCTGTTATATATATATTTTTTTTTTTCATTTTCGATTGGTATTTTCTAAGGAAAAACTTTCATGGCTTATGTGTAAAATGCAAAGGTCCCCAAGAAACATAGTTCACAATGTAGGCGTTAAAGTGTATAACCCTGTCAATTAATGAACTATGGCTCTTTCTTATCCCATCAAGACATTGACTTTTTCCTCTTCTTTCATCCTAACCTGACAAGAAAATGACAACTTGCCAATTTTATATCAAATTTCAATCTTGTAATTTACATTTATGAAGAAAAGCCCATGAAGTATCATTTAAACTATCAAATTATGCATCTTAAAAATCATGGAACATTGAGCAAATATTAATCAAATCAAATGCAGTTCGTATATAATTTTCAGTTCCTTTTCTATTTTTGTTGTTGGGGGGTGGGGGGTGGTTGGTGGTGGTTTGTTGGGGTATCGGAAGCTGAGATATCCAATAATGTCACTTGCTACTATAAGGAAATATGGAGATAAAAATAGAGGAAGATAAGACAAACAAATAGAAGAGAAGTAGAAACAGAGATCTTGACCTCTAATGCATGAACTATGAGAATGTGGAAACAAGCAAATCGATTTCTAAGAGACGCAATATCAGCAGGTGATCTCAGGCCAAGTAATAAGTCAATCAGCTCCTCAGAACGAGAAGAAGAAAACCATGAGTGTTCCTACACCATAAAATAAAAAAGAAAAGTTACTAACTCCACAGAGTACCAGACTTTGTAGATGGTAATTTAAGCATGCCAAGATGCCATCCAAACCTGTAAAATTCTGCTCAGAGTGTGGTACGCTTCACAGTGACAAGTCACATCAGTTGCCTGAATGGTGAAGATACATAAAACAATTTTTATACCAAAATTAATTGACCACAAACCAAAAAGTGCATCAATATATGGAAGGTCATGCAGGTGTTTAGGTTGAAAAGTTCCACCTGAAAGATCGAGATAACAAAGTTATATATCAGATCAATGAGATCAGCCTTGGCTCCAACAACAAGAGAAGATGCAAGCTCCATCATCACACACCTGTAGATTTACTGAACTTATCAACATTCACGATTCAGGAGAATTGGGGAGAAGACAAAAAACATAAGATCCATTTTCAAGTCCGGCAAATTTGAAACATACAGAAATTTGGAGAAGACAAGGAGAACTCATTTAATCAGTTCCTTTCACTTTCTTATTTTATTTTATGTTCAATAAGGCAAATATGAGGCAGTGTTAGATGTTGTGGGTTGGTTTGGTTTTAATGCAGAACATTAACTTTCCAGTTTACCTCTGTGCATCTTTCTCTTGTACATTCAAGTTATGTAGTTCTTCCTCAACCAATTCATCACCATGGCTCTTTGTCTGTTGAAATTCACCTTCACTGGTTACAAACTGAAACCTCTCAAGCAGTGACATGAAAAATTTTTTGGTGACAGAAGAATTGCTGATAGAAGCCAAGCATCCGATAGCATCCTGAGAAAATAGCATCAGTCAGTATGTGATGTCTCATGGCATTGACTGATATTTCCAAAAAGGTAATGGCATGCATATACATTAGCATCATTATAACAAATCTCACAACTAAGTAGATTGAAAAGAAACATTACCGGAAAGGAACTCAATGTTGTCAACTTAAAGAGATACAGAGATTACAGAACATGTCAAAAACTAACTACTTACCTAGAGAATGAATCAGATGAACTAAGACACGTTAAAAGAAGGTTACAATCTATGAGGTGTTACTAATGCATAGTTGCATGTCACCAAACTAATTATCAAGTTTATAATTACAACAATACTGATATTGTATAATCTTAAGCCAGTATGATAAGAAAAGCATGCCAGTAGCTCCAAGAATTTACAAGAGAAGCAAAACTCAATTAAACTGCTTAAGCAAAACAAATATTGAAGGTCACGGCAGGTCACGAAGCCAGGCAACCCAATCCAAATCCAATTGGTAAATTGCTTGGATTCATGTACTTTGTATAGGCATCACCCAGCCCAACACCATTTTATAGGAAAGATGAAAGCCAAAAAAAAAAAAAAAAACACTCTAGAAAAGAGAAAACTGAGACAATTTGTAAACTATGGTAAAGAAATTGCATCCTAAGAAAAAAAGGGAGCAGGATATCAATGCCAGAATAATTCTGTATACCAAGAAAGGAACTTTCAACTTACCCGGAAAAAATAGAGCAAGAATACATCTATCAAACAAGTTAAAAACTAAAAAGAGTTAGAGAAAAACTACATATGGAAGAAACCTTTATGTGTGACGGCTTCCCAGAATGTGAATCAACAAACAAGTCTCCTAGAGCATGAAGCAACTCTGAAGAACATGATGCCAAAGCCTTGATGTTTTTGGTTGCAGTTTTTTTGGAATAAGAGGCTACATTTTGGCACTCTAAAACAGAATCTGTTACTGCATTGCTATTTGACTCACCGCCATCACTTTTAGAAAACATCAAACTTCTGTTTTGATTCACAAGAACCTATCAAAACCAAAGAAATAAATAAACAAATACATAAAAGAAACCAAAAACAATAAAATAATATATACAAATGAAAGTGACCAGGCCAAAAGAAAAAAAGAAGAAGAAGAATTAGCTCTTTGCCACTATAAAGTGAAGGAGAGGTCACCTGTAAGGCAACAGTAATATTTTGATGCATGAAAGAGTACTTCTTTAGAGAAGTAACCATAAGTTCAGCCAAAGATCCAAACTTTTTGTGAGTATCAACAGGATAACGACAAAAGGCAGGAAGCAGTCCCCAGAGGCCATGTGCATGTGCCTGCAGATCTTGACCAATTACTGATTTTTTAACTGGACCAAAAAAGGGGAACAGGGGAATAATAAATAGAAAATATATATACCAGAAGTAGATAACTGCACAGCAAATCGTTGTTGAATGAAAACAATAGAGATCAAAATATATGTAGCTATGATAGATTAAAGAACAACTCTAATTTGCATTACAATTACAGAATGATTATGACCTAGTACTGTCCCACAGGTGATAAGTAAATCAAAACAGTTGTCAGCTATAGTGGATCGACTGACTGATTAACGTATCAGTCTGGATAGATATTATTGCCAAATGCAGACATCAGTTCACCGTCGGTAAAACAACAAAAGACCATTGGTACAAATCTTCAGGAAAACTAAGAGCTCGATATTGTAAATAAGGGCAATATGATAATTTGAAACTGCCTAACTTCTGTCAGACATTAGAGTTCGCCATGTCAAAATTTTGCTTGAAAGAGAATAGACGCTTCGACCTTACAATTCCCAAAGCCTCAGCCTACATAACATCCTCAATAAAGAATAAAGAGTTGTGTCTTTGACAATAAGTCTGACCTTGTCTATATTTACAGGTTGCATGGGCAGTGCACTTCTTCATGATTAAACATTAGATACGTGCATGAAAACATATTTCTAACACCCATTCCTTCTTCATGATTAAACATTAAATATGTGCACAAAAACATATTTCTAACACCCATTCTCATGAATTAGAAAACGATTGTCTCTAGCCAAAATGAATAAATTTTTCATGTGCTTTTGGCTTTTAGGGTATACCTTTGCGACTGGCTTGCTTAAAGGATTTTGCAAGAGGCACAATATGCTCCATATAATACCCTAGCGAAGCTCCAACAACATGATCTTTCAATATGGGTACCAACCAGGTATTTGAACATGTAAAATTATCAGGATCAATGGAGATAGGCATGAGCATAAGCATCTTCTCAGGACCCATGGCAACTACTGCAGATCCCATGCAATTTTGAAGCTGGAAGTTTAACAAAAAAGGCAGCGATCAATTCAGTAGACATCATTTGAGAAAATTATTCACTATCCACTAAAAAAGAAACATGCATATCTGAATTGAGGAGTGAATTTACAATGATAAAAGATAAGCAGAAATGATGATGCATCTTGTTACATTTACTAGGAAACATCTCATGAGATATGACTTATACAATGCTCATATCAAATCTCTTACACAGATCTAATTGATATAGGTTTCCAATGCTGGTTTAAGCAGCACTGAATACCTTGTTTATGGAGCAGAAATCTTAGGTCAGGGATATCAAGTGTTGGTCACTAGGTTTCCCAGAAAAGGTGTTGGTTTCTTAGGACTGTTCAAATGCCTTTGCATAGCTTCATACCCATCCCTCTGGACCAAAATAAAATACCATTTTACCATTAATGCTAACATAAAATCAGTTCAACCATGGATCAAATTGCTCCAATGAAATGGCAAATAGACGGCCCCTAAAATTCATGTCGCAGGCTAAAGAAATAGTAACAAGCAAAAGAAGATAACTAAAAATTTAAGAGGTCAGTTGACACCACTGCTCCATCAACATTGGAACAGTTACAAGAAACATCCATGAGCACTTACATGATTTGTGTCAGGTGTATGATGGCCAAAATTGTTCATCAAGTCAGCAAGCTTAAGTACGACACTTTTCATGAATATATATGACATCTCTCCTGCAATATAAAAGCAAAATTGATGACTAGGAGCTCTACCTGTTTGCTGGATTGAACATAATCAGGATTCATGCATAGAAAGCATATAATTCCGACACAATGGCAGGCACAAAGTGAAACATGTGTGCAAAAACTTTTCATTTCAATTTGGCGAACTCTGAAAGTTCGCTATTCTTTCAAAATTTAGCAGGTAATTAGGCCTCTTAGAAAGCTAGTTTTAAAATTTGGATATTATAAGATGGTGTGAAGCAAGCAAAACAACTGTGTGTAAAATTAAGAAATTCAATTGTGCTAAAATAGCAGAAGAACACCAAATTCCATGTACCAAGCTTCTGGAACAAAACAGTTATGACTCCCAAAAGGTGTTCATTTGGAATTTCATCACAAGAGTTTAGAATATTCTCCAAGATAGCACAGGTTGATTTGATCATATTTGCTTCTTCACTCTCTTGACTTGCATCGTCAAGTGATTGGCCTTCATTCATCACAATTTCTTTTGGATCTATGTAGTTGTTGATCAACTCCTTCATTATATCTGAGGCCTGTGATGCAGTAGCCTCACAGGTCAAAAGACCTAAATCAGTATAAACATGTGTCAGAGGACCTAACAGTATGTGATCAACAAGCCAGCAATGATAATAAAACAGAAAAATACTAGCGCTGTTAACATAGAGCTAATAAACATATCAAGAAGCAAACCTGCTATGGAACCAGAAATTTTATGTACATTCCTCATCCATGAGCTTGATCCTCCAGCACGAAGTTTATCTGATGCAATTTTTAACAGGGTAGCTGCAGACAATAAGGTGTCCACAGGATTCTTCTGTCCTAAAGATAAATACACAGAAAGAGAATCTATAATGTTCTCCTTCTGCGGACTAATCACTTCATCACTTGAACTCACAAGAAATGCTTCAATATTTTGAAAAATCTGCCTCGTAAGTACTGAGAACTCAGGCCTCAAAATCTTAACTAGTTCTGATAGAACTTTTGAACTGATTTTAACTGAGAGATATGAAACAGTGACCTTTAGAAGATTTAGCATATGAATGACCTCTAGATGTTCCGGCTTCAATAATGTTTCTTCTTTAGACCCATCAACAACCCTTGACTCACTCAATGTAAGTGCTACAGGCATGTAACTTTTGAACAACGAAAAGACCAACTTGCTAGCTTCCTTAACAACAGAAGAAGATCTAAAAGACTTGAAAACTTTCTCAAGACATTCTTGTGCACTCCTCCTCACCTGAAACAAAGAAAATGAAAAATCCTAACTTATCAACTTCCCTGTCATCTATCCCGGTAACAATAATACAGAATTAACATAAGCAAGACCCAAATATATCAAAGACAACAGATTATTGTATTTTTTATTTACACAACAAAAAAAATTCAAACTTGAAATTAAATCACTCAGTTATCATAATTAAAAGCAAATTACATTACAATTCAAAAACCACATTACTTAGAAAAACATAAAAATAGAAACTTTAATAATCATTAATCATTGAGCAACTTGACAATTAAGAAAAAAAGACACTACCTTTGGTCTCTTATCAACAGAGAATTTAATCAAACTTTCAAACCCAACTTTTACAGACTCCCAATTCTCCAAATTACAAAATCCTGCAATCAAAACCCCCAAACACTTAACCACACCACTCAAACTCCCCACTCCCACTCCCTCTCTCTCCACCGCCACTTCCACCAACACCGCCACCGCCTCCTTCACCTTCTCCTCCTTAATCCCCTTCTCTTCAATCAACGGCACCACAATAGAAACAAACGACAGTAACGCCGCAATTGCCGTGGAATCTAGAGTTTTCGAATCGGAGAGATTGTTGATTGCGGTAGCGAAGTAAGCTTTGGGAGTTAAAGGGAGGGATTCGGCAGTAAGGATTGAACGGAGGGCTGCGGCGGTTGCCAGGAGGTGGCGGTGCTGTGGTGCCGTGGAGGCGGAGTATCGGGAGAGTAGTTGTTGGCAGATTTCTGTGTCGTCTTTTAATTCGGTTTCTGGTTCAAGTTCGGGTTCGGATTTTTTGGATTTCATGTTTGTGGATTTCGTGTTTGTTTAGGGTGGTGAGGGTGGTGGTGGTTGAATTTTGAGGGTTTTAAGGGTTTAGGGTTTTAGGATTTGTGAAAGAATGGAGAAGGTGATGCAATTTGGGCAGGTTCGCCGAGTTTAAAATGGGCTGTAATGTGTTATTGGGCCCTTGTTTAGAGCTTGGGCTGGAGCAAATTGGTTGTTGAGGCAGCAGCCCAATTGAATTATTGTAATTCTTGCCATTGATGGATTCCATTGAGTCTAAAACCCAAAGTGGTTACTTGAGTCTTTACAGTTTAGCGTAATGGTTAAATTTTGGATTAAATTTTCTTTCTTTCTTTCTTTCTTTCTTTTTCTTAATGTAAAAAAAAAAAAAAAAAAAAAAAAAAAAAATCTTGAATGATAGTGTTAATATTAACAAAAAATTAATTTTGTTAATATTAAATTGATACGTAATAAATTATTTTCTTAACGTCTGTTACAAGGGGAAAAGAAAAGTACAACAAAAACCTTCACTAGTGAATTATTATTTTTTAAACAATATCTAGTCTTTTCATAAACATTTGACATAAGTGAATAATTACACAAGCATGCAGCATAGGTCGAAACTTAATGATTGGCTTTTATAAAATTAATTAAGTTAAGGCGAGGTTATTTTTCACTAACCCTTTAAATGGAAAATGAATGATAGTGTTTACATTTCTCTAATTAGGAGGGGTAATCTTAATTTTTTAGTGTTTATATAAGTTACCTTAAAAACACCATATATGTTTAACAAGCAAAAGGCATATATGCCCTTAAATAAGAACAAAATACACATGCATGCATATACTTACCGTAATGGGTCTTTAGTCATCAACCGTTGCTATAGTTGTTGGTTGGTGAAAGTGGGAGACAAGAGCCTTAAAGCAACGGAGAGCCTTCCTCCGCGGGAAATTAAAAAAAAATTATAATACTAAAAGTATATCTATTTCATAAAATTCTTTTAAAGAGATAGATAGACATATAAAAAAAGAGAGAATTATATCTGGATCATAAAAGGGATAAAAAGATTTTCACGACTATTTAACTTTTTTTAATTTTTTCTTTCTTGTTTTTTCCTTTTTTTAAAATATTTATCTTTCTCTTTAAAATAAATTCATATAGTAATTATTATACATATCATTAATTATTTTTTAAATATTATAAAATTTGTCAAGGAATTGGGCATGTCCTACAGGATACGGCTGCATTATGCATTGTCCACTTCCGACCCTTTTCGAATTTTTCTTGCAAAAAACATCACAATCTAATTTGGAAAAATTTAACGTTAGACAAATGCTGTCTGCGAACAATCAAAGAGGTCCACAACACTACAGAAAATTCCTTTATTACTACAGTGAATCGAGAAGCTTAAATAAGTTTGCATTCGCTGAATGATCAGTATATCAGATTTTTTGATAGAATTATTAGCTGTACTAGCTCGCAATTCAATCAATCCTTCTACCGAGTCTATGTAGCAATTAATTCCAATTTAATTGATCATTAGATTTGTGAATTGAATAAGCACACTGCGTGAAATGGGCAGTATCGCCAGCTGCCAACCCTAGGGACTGGGAGATCTGAGATCATAAAAGCGTCAGATTTTAAGCAAGATCCATTAACTCCATCCAGCAATTTTGAAGTTCCCGATGTACGGGCTGGTTTTATAATGGCTATTTCAAAGAGAGTGTTCCCTAAATGTGCATTGTTGTAAGTATTCATGAACATTTAGCAACGACCTCTTCCTGTGTTTGTTTTTAAGGAGATGGAGATCCATCTGTTAGAACATCGTGTACCACGTGTCTCTGTTTCATGGAAACTTCCACTTGAGATCCACCGTCAAAATGGGGTTTCTGTCTTCACCAGCATTGGGGCCGGTCCTTCATTCAATTATATGATTTGATTGATCTCAGGCAATCTTGACTCGTTAGATCCTGTTGTAAGTCAGGTCAACTCACTTACACATGCCTAGATGGATTGGTTTAAGTCGTAAGATTTCGTGCCTTGCTACCAAGTATTTTAATGAGTAAGTTATAAATTAGTCCCTCGTGCTTCCCTTTTAGTTTTAAAAATTAGTTATTTAATTTTTTTTGTTATTTTTTAATTTATTTTAAGAAATATTAAATAAATAAAAATAAGAAAAAATATAAAAGATTGATGGAAAAAAATTATTAAATAAAAAAATATTAAATTAATTGTAATCAACATTGATTAAAAAGATTACATTATTATTTTTTAAAATTAAAAAACTAATTAATTCTTTTTTTAAAAAAAATTAATTTATAATTTATTTCTATTTTAATTAGATATGACATATTTAGTTCTTGTGAATCTTTGATTTTAGATCTTGAGATGAGTAAAGACCTAAGAAAACATAATTTTAGATCTTGTTTCCAGTTAGGTCAACTCACGTGCTCATGCCTAAATTGGTTGGTTTAAGTGGTAAGATTTCGTGCCTTGGTACCAAGTATTTTATTGAGTAAATTATAAATTAGTCCCTCATGCTTCCCTTTTAGTTTTTAAAATTAGTTATTTAGTTTTTTTAAAATTCATTTTAATTTTTTATTTTAAGAAATAGAAAATGAATAAAAAAAGAAAAAATATAGAAGATTGATGGGAAAAAAGCATTTTATAAAATAAAAAATACTATATTAATTATAATTAACACTGGTTAAAAAAAACTAAATGATTAGTTTTTGAAACTAAAAAAAATTAATTAATTCTTTTTTTCAAAAAAAGAAACTAATTTATAATTTACTCGTATTTTAATTAGATATAACATATTTAGGTCTTGCGAATCTTTAATTTTAGATCTTGAGATAAGTAAGGACTTAAGAAAACATAATTTTTTTTTTTTGTTGAAAATGTGATTAATCTATCTATACATTTTTTAACCTAAAAGTAAAAATAAATATGATAATTCGTGATCTTGTGAAAATCTATAATTATGGAGTTTAGATCCTAATAGTCAAACCAAAAATTAATAATATCACAAGTAAATTCACTTACTATTTGTGCTATTAACTGAGGTGCATATAAAGTCATTTCAAATCATCCAAGCTCTTGAGAAATAATACCAATTATACATAATAGAGGGAAAAATAAAGAAAGAAAGAACTTTTTTCTCTCGAAATGTGAATTGAGAAAAGGAATAGCACATGATCGAACATTAAAAAAAAATATCAAAAGGAAAACCACCTGAGATGCTTTAAAATTGACTGACAAAGGAATTCCTGCAAGCACGTATGATAAATAAATAATCCCAAGTTCTGCATGGTTGGAACAAGCCTAATATCCAAGGATTAATTTGAGAGGACAAGAGCTTCTGAGTTCTTGTGAAGCGTAGGAGAAGCCCCTACGCTTTGGTGTCCATTGTGGTCACACCCGCGGGATTTATGAGACAGCTGTTTGATGCCGAGTCTTCACATCCAAGCACATGTCGGCAGGTTTTTTTTTTTTTTCCTTAAAACAAATTAAAACAAATTTGTTTTGGTTTTTAATGTACGTGAATTATATATGGTACCGTTTGTTCAAATGATGAATTGTAGGATATTTACCCGATAAAAATCGTAAATGGATTTCTTTTCAGGCTACCATTTTACGAAAGGTCGTAAGAAATTGGAGAAAAACTTGATATCGTGGGGAAAAAAGAAAGTGAGATAAACATTGTTTTTTGTAAGGTAAATTTACTCACGTGCTCTGATATAATTCTCATAGGTTTTTTATCTATCTTTAGATTTTTAATTACATATGATCTATCTTTGAAATTTTTTAAAACGTTCAATCTATCACTTCAATTAATTTTTTTATTTTAAAAAACAAAATTTTGATTGAAATACCCTTAACTAAAATACAAAAAATATATACAAGGAAAAATACTTAAAGTCACATAACCTACATATTATAAAAAAATTTAGAATTTTGTTTTCTTTTCTTTTGCATTTTAATTAGGAGCATTTCAGTCAAAAAAATTATTTGGCCGAAAAAATTGATCGGAATGGCATATCGGACATTCCAAACACTTTTATAGACAAATGAGATGTAATTAAAAATTTAATGAGATATTTTGAGTATTATATAAAACAAATTTTACCATAAAATGTTCAATTATAAGAGAGACATATAAAATGTTCAATTACATGAGAGACATATGAGAGATTTTTTGAAATGTTCAATCTGTCCTTTGGATTGATTTTTTTACCATAAAAAACAAAATTTTGGTTGAAATTCCCTTTATTAAAATGCAAAAAATATATACAAAGAAAAACACTTAAAGTTACATAACTTACATATTATAAAAAAATTTAGAATTGTATTTTCCTTTCTTTTGCATCTTAATTAGGAGCATTTTAGTCAAAAAAAAAATTATTTGGCTGAAAAAATTGATAGGAATGATAGATTGAACATTCCAAACACTTTTATATACAAATAAAATGCAATTAAAAATTTAATCGGAGACATATAAGAGATTTTGAGTATTATATAAAACAAAATTTTACCATAAAATGTTCAATCATATGAGAGGCATATGAAAGTTTTTTAAAAGATATTCAATCTGTCATTTCAATCATTTTTTCACCACAAAAAATTTTTTTTGGCTGAAATGCAAAAAATATATACAAAGAAAAACACTTAAAGTCACATAACCTACATATTATAAAAATCTTTATAATTTTATTTTATTTTCTTATGCATTTTAATCAAGAGCATTTCGATCAAAAAAAATATTTGGCCAAAAAAAATTGATCGGAATGACAAATTGAATATTCCAAACACTTTTATAGACAAATGGGATACAATTAAAAATTTAATAAGAGACGTATGAGAGATTTTGAGTATGATATAAAGACATATAAGTGTATCTACACATTTTTTAACATTGAAGAAAGCTTTTGAATCCATTAATTAGTTTCAATGTTGAGGTAAGAACAACGATTGAGATATTAATTGACAAATCCGAATGATATGTGTCATCTAGACATCCC